ATGTGGTCCCCAGACCTCTTGGTGGGGGGTGGAGGAATGTGATTGGAATTGTCCCCTCCACCCCCACCCTGCAGGTGGAATGTGATTCCTTCTCAGAGCTCAGACTTGGTGAATTCTGGCCCTAGATAACCTGTGCCCGTGTGCCTGTGCAGCCCCGACCTAAGGCGCAGTGACCTTTCCGTACAAGGCTCCCATTATTCTGGCCTGAGGGTGGGCGTCTGGGTGGTAGGGGAGGGGACAACTCAGAAGGCAGCTCTGGTGGGGGTGGGGCAGGCAGTGTGCCACCTGGGGTGGGACCTGGTGCGCTTCTGCCTATTCTGCCACCTTGTTGGCCAGTTGGCCTTGGCACTAGATCAGAGATCTTGTCACCTGCCAGGTGCCCAAACAAGTGTTCAAACAAACGCAGGGACTGGGGGCTGGCTGGGTGGGCAGGGCGGAGGCTGGCCTGCGCCCCCTGCCCTGAGCCCCCCACATGGACCCAACGCTCACTGGGTCGGGGTGCTCAGCTCACACAAGCTGGAGTGAGAGCCGACTGCCTCCGTGCTCTCCCCTCGCCCCGTCCACATCCAGGTGGCCCGGAGCCTCAGTCCAGGTGGCTGCCGGCTCCGCCAGGGGCCTGTTCCCTCATCCAGCCTCTAGCTCTGCCCCCCTGGGCGGGCTCCTGTGGGCTCCCAACCCCCAGCCTCCCTTGGCCTGCAGACCCTCAGGGCACCAGGTCCCCCTGCTTCCTGCCAGGCCCAGAGGCCAGGGCCGCATTGCTCGGCTGCACCTGGCACTCTAGTCTCTACTGCTCCTGGTGTGGGGCCCGCCAGTGGCCAGACAGGAGTCTCACTATGGTTATGGGGAAATCGGCCCCCAAACCAACCCTGCCCACCTCTCTGAGGATCCTCCCTGAGCCCAAGACAAGGGGGAGGGAAGCCCAGGGCCTGTTCTCTGTCACCTGCATTCACCCCAGGGGCCACCAGGGTTGCAGGGCCCTGAAGCCGGGGACACTCCCACCTGCTGGAGGTCCCTGATTCCTGTGCCGGGGAGACGCCATGGACAGACAGACATGGCTTCCTTTTCTACAACTCGCCTCCCACAGAGGAAGAGCTAACTAAGAATTACTGAGTGTGAAAGAGACCCCAGCGGGAACTCCTTGTGCTGTGGGGAACCCGCACCGTGTGGGAGACGGAGAGGTGACTCTCTGGGAAGCGACATTTAGCTCAGCGTGGAGTGTGGAATTCAAGACACCCGCCGCTGGAGATGAGGGCGAGGGCATGGGGAGGGGGAGTTCCTGAGCAGAGGCCCCTGGGGGTGAGCTTGGCATTTGCAGGGAACATAGAGGCCAGTGCGCTGGGACAGAGCGGGTGACAGTGCAGTGGGGGTGAGGTGAGAGGTGCCAGCAGGGTGGTAGAGAGCAGGAAACCGCAGGAGACTGAGGCCGGCCTGTGTTCTCACACAGCGAGGAGCCACTGGGGAGACGTGGCTGGGTTTCGCCTTTGCAATGAACAGAAATTTTCCCCCTTTACCCCACTGAGGTCATGTGTCCAGTGGGCAGGAGGCAGCCATCAGCAGTGGCCAGAGGTGGGCGTTGGGAGGACCAGGGACGTGTGTCTTCAGGAGAAACGTGCAGACCCTGAAGCTGCTAAACAGGGTGCCACCTTCCCTGTCTGAGCCAGTGGCTTGCAGGGGCCCTAGTCTGGGGCAAAGGGAGATGGGGGACATTCACCGTACATACCTGTATTGCATTCAGATTGGCGGATGTCTGTTCCAGACCAGCATTTCTGCCATTTGGATGTCACTTCTGATGTGTCTGATTGTTGGGCAAGTAGGAAGGAAGGGGTGGGGGAGGGAATTGGGCTGCTGGGGAACTGGCTAGAAAGAGTCATGGAAGGAAAGGGGGAAGATGGATGGGGAGATGATGGATAGATGGAAGATGGGCAGACGGGTGGAGGAATAGATGGATGTTGGGTGGATGGATGGATGATGGGTGGATGGTGGATGGATGGATGGATG